CCAAGTACACACAATGCGATGTTGGCTCAATTAAACGGCACTCGGCTCTCAGTCGCCCTACCAAGCTCTACCGATACGGTGTTTGCTAAGAGAATAGAATGAGCATGACATCACTAGCTAATTAACTGAATTGAACTGAATCTATTTGTGCCTGAGACTATCTACGTTCGTATTTAATTTATGCCCCAACCAAATCTAATTATTGAGAAAAACACGGTAGTGTAAATGTGTTACTCTCAACTTTTGCAAAGTAAGTTAATTACTCCATTAAAAGTTAACTTTGTTTATGTGTGCGAAATTGTGTCAAAGTCGGTATTTTAATACTAATTATATACTTTATACTAAACTCTAATGATGAGAGCAACATATAAAAGCACCCTTAGGGTAGGTCAAAAATTTCAATTCGTTTTTATTAATTAGTACAAATGAATCAATTTGAATCAATTCGCATCAATTAAAGGCGACGATGAATTTAACTATCGCCAGATGCCTATGTCTATGTTAGTTATTCAATTAGAATTTATACTAAATCATAGGGGAAAAACATGGGAGATCGTTGCAGTCGGGCGTCACCGACTGCAGAATACTCATTTATTTAACTTTTTTAACTTTCGATTTGCCATATCCTCAATTGGTATTTATCAATAATTAGAGCAACAGAGAACATCTAAAATAAATCTGAACTATAGAAAATACAGTTTTACCGGATGTTCTTCATTTTCAATAGGCGTAGATATGCTAGCTATATGTTTATGAACTTGTTAACGTGATTAAATATTTTCAATTTTGAGCTCTCTAGCACTTCAACTTGGTCTCTGAGATGCTGGAATATGAGTTTTTCAATTTACCACGCATCTAGTGAGCGGATTGGGAAAATATTTACCCTTTATAGCTCCAGGCTGTACACGAGTATATGATCCGAATTTCAAGTCTCTAGCTCCAATAGAGTAGAAATGATTTGCATTCGTACGAATGAAGGGACTAGCGTCCATTACACAAAACCAATATACTCATTTGACTTTCGTGAATGAGTAAGCAAATTTTTAATAAAAAAATTGAAATATTTACATATGTATGTTCATCAATTCTACATATATATGTATATATTACTTAACGTTTATTCGATACATCGTATATATATATATCGTATATACATATCTCTCGAGTCAGCATGTGGAATGTAAGTCTATCATATTTTAAAGTCTTTCCACAAGAGATGTGAATCATGAATGAAAATTTCGGCAAACTGCATGCACATCTATGGCACTGGCTTAGGTCCATTGAAATGAGCAGTGGATGCAGCACTTTAAAGAGTTCAATAGACTTGAAGCATGAGCAAGTGCTGGGCACATGCATCAAAAGCCAAACTTAAAGGCAATGACTAATATTTTTGGCTATCACCGGTGCCAAATGGCCAACGCCCCCGACTGCTGTATCCGTTAGCCTTCCTCAGCTCCTTCTCTGGCCACTTTATGCACACACACACACGCACACATACATATATGCACATATTTATGTGTAATCCCAATGCATATAGTACGACATATATGCAATATGTGAGTGTGTGTGTGTGTGTGTGTGTGTACATAGATACCTGGCTGGCTGGCTGATTTCGAGCTGGAGCTCTGTGCCGCTATCATTGCACAAGTGCGCAAAATTTTGGACTCAATTCACGTGCTTGGCTGCCAAAATTGTTGGCAGCCTCCAGTCGGCTCGGCCGGTCGTCGTCCGCTTCATAAATTTGCACATTGAGTCGCCCTCGTCCTCAGCTGGCGGCAGCGGGTGGCGGCGGCCGACCGGGTCGCCATGTTCTCGGGATCGGCAATGGCAATGGCAATAGCAACGCCAACGCCAGCGCCAACGTCATCGGCATCGGCATCGGCATCGGCATCGGTATACGGTTCTACATTACATCCTATTTGTATTTAATTCGATACGGGGGCAACGGGTAAGCAGCGTTGCTCTCCAAGATTTTTGCAACGCGAGTGAATCGCAGCCACGCCCACCCGCCTGCCGTGCCCAGCCCAGCCGTCTGCCGCATCGAACCAACTCCATTCCCACTCCAGCCAACGGACCGCACTCAAGTGCAGTGAAATAGTTGTGAAACACTTTGCCAAAGATGAAAGATAAACCACACAGGCAACGGCAGCAATGGAGACGTCCACGTCCACGTTCACGTTCACGTCAGGCGCCATTTTTGCATGCACTACCACTACCACACACACACACACACACACACATACATACAGCTGCGTTAACATGCATATGCATGTATACACATTCATCTCACACAAACAAATAAAAACTTTAAGTCTAACGAAATTTAAAAGCGTTTAACCCGAGGAACGCTTGCATGCGAAATTTTCTTCAAGTTGCGCAAATATTTTTGCCATTTCTTTTTTTTTTTTATGTGCTGCGAACATTTAAGACACACACACAAATGAAAAAAGAAAACTTTATTTATTGGCGAAGGCTTAAGAAAATAAATAATAGATGTATTTGTGGTAAAGAAGGTTTAGTAATGAGAATCGCATAGAGAGGCAATGTGAACTTATGAAATTTTTGGGAATTTGATATAGACAGCTATAAATTCTAGTCAAGATTTGTAGAGAGCTTCGTCTTGAAGATGAACCTGAACTGGTTCCAGTCACTTAAAATACTTTCCTGATATGAATGATGCGTATAGATCAGCTGAATTACTTTAGTTTAGCTTCTTATAAATGGCAGCTGCTTAGCTCAACAGAATCTCAACGGAATCACAAAGAGCTGGGTGAGTTCTCAGATCCTAAATCCTGCATAATAGCATAAAAAATATTGCCTGAGCTTCGTGTGTTTCCCTCAGAGCTGAACTAGCTTGAAAAATTTCTAATCGAAGCAGTTTATATAAGGCTAAAAATCAAACTATATAACATATACATATATATCATTAAGTAAAGAAAGTATACTTTGATAGTATCTATATAGCATTAAACTAAAGTAAATTTTCAAAGTGAACAGGCAGAAAAAAGAGAAAAAAAAACCATTAAACCCTGATTTCCCATTTTCAATGGGTTCAGGGTATAAAAAAAAAAAATTGTTGAAATGCAGTAAAATTCGAGAACTATTTAATTTTGATTTGTTTGCCATATTTGAAGCGAGCTAAAAATGCTGCATCAAATGGCGATAAAAATCATTGCCGATGATTACTTTCTATTTTAATTACTCGCTGACAATGAACAATGTGTCTGAAAATGAATGATGACATTGGCGAGCTGAGCACAGGGTCGAGGGGCGACGGGCGGTTGTATTCTAGAGCAACCAAAAATAAAAAAAAAATAAAAATGAAATGAAAAAATAAAAATAAAAAAACATGAAGAGAAAAACCTACTCAACGCCAGGCAAAGATCAAGCGCAGCAGCAGCAGCAGCAGTTCATGCAATTGGCATTACGTATACGCCGCGGCTGCCGCTTTGCATTATTATATATGGATAAATAAAAAATACAAATAAAAATTAAATCATAAAAAATACGCTGCGCACTCAACGAAATAAAGAAAAAACAATCAAACAAATATATGTACATGTATGTGTATATATATGTACATATATATATATGTATATAAAATAATGCAGAGCCGAAAAGTGACACAAAGTGCGACACAGAAATGCAGTGAAGCCAGCCAGAGGCCCATCCCTGGCATGTGAACGAACGGTGCCGTGGTGAGAGGATGGGCGGTGGAAGGGGGGGGGGGGCATGGGGTGCTGGTAAGGGCCTGTTGTTGACTAACATTGAACTCAACTGCGCTGCGCGCTCGATTGTTGTTCAGGGCTCATTGTTTTTTTGTATTTGGTATTTTGTATTTCGTGCCGAGCGCAGCGATAAAAATGCTGCTAAAGTATAAATTATGCCAATATGAAAAGCCGAAACACAGAGAAAAAATCATGGACAGACAGCGAGGGTTGCTGCGAAGAAAACATTTGAAAAGCCTGACAAAAAAAATAAAATTCAGGCTAATAATAAGATTAAAAGTAAAGGAAATTAATAAAAATTATTTAATCAATATTTTAATAGTTAATAGTTGTTAATAGTTTTTGAATTATATTAAAAAAATCAAATAAAATAAACAGAGATTTTTGGATAAAAAATTAATATACCAATTTTTGATATATTTATATTTTATAAATTAGAAATGTATTCTTATTAATCAATTGAAATTAAATAAAATTTGAGTTAATAATAAGATATACAAAAAATGATTTAAAATTCTTAAATCAATATTTAATATAAATATTTTATGAATTATGTTAAAAATAAAATAAAAATAAACAGAAATAAACCGGAAAAAAATCAGTTAAAAAATTATTGATATATTTATTTTGTATTTTATAAATTAAAAATGTATTTGTATTAATCATATACGAAAAATATAATAAATATTCAGCAATAAATAAATAAGTAGAAATATTTTTGCCCATAATGAAATTTGAATAAATTAATGTGTATCAATTTATAAATTAAAAAATACATAAGTACATTAAGAAAATACAATATTAATGTTCATAATTTGTATGAATAAAATAAAATAATTTTAAGCTATGAACAACTCTCGCTATTTGATAAACATAAACACAACAATAATGGCTATGAGACAATGTAGCGAATCCATAAAAAGCAATTCTGCATACACATACACATGCCTACGTATATATATATATGTGTGTGTGTGTGTGTGAATATGTATTGGTGTCTATTCGGGTCATGCTGTTAAAAAAAATGCGCATAATTGGCAAATTTAGAGTGAAATTGCCTGATAAATATGCAAAATACGAGGCGAGACTCCGCCCCAGCCCACACTCCACTAGCATCCATCCAATAAAAAACCCCCTCAATAGCCCGCAGATATTGGCGCATCAATATAAGCACTTAAATAATAAATAAAACGAATAATATTTAAACTGAAAATTAAATACATGTTTTATGCAACGAAAAAAAAAAATAGTTGAAAGTAAAAAAAAAAATTGTAAATCAATTAACAGCTAACTGAACATTTCGAGTCTACTCCAGATCCGTATGCTTCTTGATCCACTCCACGTGATAGTAAACACGGGCATAGCCATCTGGATAGATGTTGCCACAGCCGCCCACAACGAAACCGGCCACGCCCACCAGCTCGCCATTGTAGTGCGCCGGGCCGCCAGAGTCGCCGTTGCAGGCGCCATTGTTCGCCTCGTGCATCAGACAGAGGCCAGCCGGCTCGCCCCAGGCAATCGACTTCTCGCATTCGTCCACCGTCAGAGTTCGGAGCGTGTTCCATTGCAGGTAGCGGGGCAGATCGCCGCCATGCGTGAGGCGGCCCCAGCCGGAGATGACGACATCGACGCCTCCAGGCGTATCCTTGCTGGCCAGCGGAATGGGCTGCACGTTCTCCGAGTAGATGAACGGCGATTTAACACGCATCACCGCCACATCGTTCACGAAGTTCAAATAGTTCTCATGCACAATGATCTCAGCGATGTCGTGCAGGGCGCCGCCGCTAAAGCGATCGTTGGTGCCCACGCGCACGGTGACTAGGTCGGGCGAATACACCTGTTGCTCGAAGTCGGTATCCAAGTAGACGACGCAGTGGGCCGCCGTCAGTACATAGTTGCGTGAGATAATCGAGCCGCCGCAGTTGTGGGAGCCACGAAGACGCAGCGACACCTGATGGGGAAATTGTCCCTTGGTCGCATCCTCGCCGCCCACCACACGTCCGCCGGGCACTGCGGCCGCCTGACACGCGGCAGCCAACAGCAGCACTGAGCCAACAACGGGCAGCAAATTGTTAAACATCTTGAGGCACAACTGAGTCGCTGCACAAGCCAGCACAAGCCATTTATAGTTGTGGCCAACATCTGTAAGCCATGATTATTTATAATTGCGCCAGAGTTTATCAGCATTTCGCTTAGATAAGCTATCTGCCACAACTACAAGATTTACGATTATCGATTGTCGAATGTTCTTCATATCATTATCTATGACTGTTCATAAAATCGTTAGTTGTCTCTTCAAAGTAATGGCATTGATAGTAATTGCACCTTTTTGTTTGCCTTTTCAATTAAAGCTAAAGTCGCTTATCGAATTCCAAGTAATCAACGTGCATATACTTATTGCAAAGAACTTGATATATACAAGTCCACTATCTTTACATATATACTTCTAAAACTGCGAGCACCAAAAACTTCCAATGTAACTTTCCAGTCGACTTCGTTTCGTCCACTGATGATCATCGCAGGCTGGCCACAATAGCTGATTCGCTCTAACCAAGCAGCAGCGTCTGGCACTGCGCTCAGCAACAGCTATTTGTGTCTCGCTCACTCTCGCTGAGAAGCAGCGTGTAGCCAAGACGCAAACTCACTCGGAGAATATTTATACAACAACCCTCAGCCTCGCAGCCAATGAGGAATTAACAGAGCTGGTGAGCAGGCTCTGCTGTTAGCTTTACAGTACCAAATTCTAATTCATATGCAAAACTCATTGCAGTCTCCAATTAGAATTGAGCAGAGCAATTCTTCAGCTGCTGTTAATGCTCAGATGAGTCTTTAATTAACTCTGCTATGGATACTAATCGACAGTATATATGTATTCACTTGTATTTGATCAAAGGCTAAGATTAAACACTAGAATTCAAGGCAGCTCTTAGAAATCAAATAGTCTGAAATGATCATATCTTTCTCTATGCTATCTTATCAGTCACTTTGCCTCTTACTCACAGCAGAGTTTCTTGATATCGCTCTTTACTTGTATTATCAATAATTTATATACGCATCTATATTATTGATATTCGTAATGTTCGTAGTAATATAACATATTATATAATTTGATAAAGTGATAAAGTGATAATACAGTTCTATGCCACGGCACGTCACGTCATGTCTAGTTGGCTTGCGTCTTCTATAGATGTGAAAGTATTATTCATATTATTCATATCATATATACATACATATATCTGCTCTCATTTGGCAAATCAAACAAATTATGTACCTTTCAATTTGTTGATGCTTTAAGTAAACCAATTCCAAGTTAAAGGTTTATGTTTTAGTGTTAATCAAAAGTTATTCCTCAATTTTTGTACTGGACAATTTCCAATTAAACTTGGCTAGTTTAAATAACAAACATTTAGCAAACATTTCTCAGTTGTTGAGATAAGGTGTTTACAATTTGAAGGATCACACATACATATGTACATATATGTTAAATAAAGTTGAGCGTGTCTGTTTACACACACACACACACACACACACAGTAAAAGAATGCGTCCAAGTGTATAGATGATATTAACTCTCGTTCTGTATGTAGATGTAAATACACATAAATAAATACGCTCGAAATTTGCACTTCTGTATATCAAACCATCTGTGGGACATTCCACAAATCAATTTCTCAAATTATTAATTACAATTTTTCGCTATGAAACATAATACAATTGGTATCAATCAGTCTAAATTGACTCAGCGAATGTGTATACATTATGGTATCTGCCACGCCTCCATTTGCCTGTTGCATTCATTTAACAAAACTATTTTACCTTGATTTCCCGATTTCAATGGGACAAAGATATTCTATTTATGTACATACATATATCAAACATACATAAGGCATAGTTAACAGTAGCTGTAAGTTATCAACAGTCTGCTATTAAAAATGGCCGCTGGAGTCTGGCCAACAACAGAGACAACATGAAATGAATTCCAGCTTCTTAGAATAGCTGTAACAGAAGTGCGTCTTTAACAGAATACTGCAAACAATTCGATCACATGAACATGATAATGAATGAAAAAGAAAGAAAAGTATTTATATGTACAGCTGCAACAGGACAAACTTAACAGAACTCAATATAAGTATATATATGAGAAATGAAACAGTTTATTTGAACTGATAAACATGATTGAGCCATACAATATCAATTTCTTACAGTTAACAGTTGCTGTTATTGATTAACATAATAAAGTGAACGGTGAGCTTTTGGAGTTCATTTCGTAAATGACTAACATTCAAATCATTAGCTAGCAGCAACAATAAATTATTGGCATGTTAAATTTAACAGTGCGCCCTTAACAGACTTTGCGCTTTCATGGTACGATGTGAGTGCAATCAACAATTGAATTTATCAAAATTAAAGCAATTTCGAGCTCTATTTCAACTCCCATTTGAGCCAAAGCCACTCTATGGAGTTTCTTTCAAATTTTGCACTCTAAAATGCTCGAACTATGTAATATGTTAAACAAGTTACGTTTGTCTGCTGCAAGAGAGAGAGAGAGAGAGCAAGAGGAGGGGAAAAAGGTAAATGGCTTGCTTTCGACTTTATACTTGTTGTCTAGCTTTCAATTTGTCGTATTTATTATTTCGCCGTTGAATTTTTTTTGGAGAACATGCAGCCAGAGCAATCACAATCGGACACACGCACATGGACACGCACACTCATACATGTGCAGATTGGCATGTATATTCACTTACTCATACGTATGCATGAGCGTACTCGCATTCGCATTCGCATTCGCATTCGCACTGAAGTGTGGGATGCTACTTTTGCCGCAGGAAGCGGTCGCAGCTGTGGGTTTTAAAATTTCAATTCATTTCCGTTGTGCATACGCACACGCCTCCAACCAACACTTTACGGTACATACGCACGCACCGACATGCTATAATATACATATACATATACATATGTATATGCATATATACACATGTCAAATATAGATATGTATAGAGATATATATCGGTGTGTATGTATGTGTGTGTGTATGTGTATGCATACAAAAAAACAACAGTCTGCGCCTAAATGGAAGACAACAGCGGTAGCAACAACAACAACACCAACAACAACGACAACGCATATAAAACAAGCAGAACTACAACAACACACAGCAGGCCTGGGGCATCCCGGCAATTTATGTGCCGAAAATATCGAAAGGCCCGACAAGTCGGGGGCAGCGGAAAATGCGTTGCAGTCGCCGTAGTCATAGCCATAGCCATAGCCATAGCCATAGCCGTAGCAGCTACTACGCAGTCTACGGTTTTGCAGCTAACGGGTATTATTACGGATGCGTGCGACACTTTTACGTTTAAATTTTAAATGCTTCAAGTCAAAAATTCAATAAATGTCTGGCATGCTGTGGGCGTGGCCCAGACAATGTTTTCCCTGCTGTCGACTGCAACCGAAACATACCCGTAGCACCCGTAGCCCTACCCGTACCCGTACACGTATCCGTGCCCACAGAGCCGTTGCGGCCACAAATTAAACAAGCGGCAATGCCATGACCAATCCCTGCCCCGCCCCCCAAGTAGCCAATGCAATTGGTATAGCTTAAAGCACCTGACCCTCAGAGCACCGTCTCCTCCCCCCATGCAGTGCCGCCCCCTCATATTTCTTTATGCTTGTGTGGGCTGGGCTAGGCATTCAGCTGGCATATTTATCGTTGCACTTTTCGATTCACAATTGAATTATGAATTATTTCGAATTATTTCAAATTACTCTTAAATATTTGATAACTGTGAGCTGTAGACAGTTTTCTTGAATTGCAGAAATTATAGTTCTATAAATTATAATCAATTTAAGTTGAGTGTGTCTGTGTGGGTTTTTTTTTTTTTTTGAAAATATATTTTACATATATTTTTAAGTATATTTTATATATTATATTTGACAGAGAATAACTTTAATTGATGATTGAGTTTGAATGGTAAGATTCAAATCATATTTTTGTGCATGTTATATATTCTATGTAAATTTCTATATTTTATTAAACAAGTGCTTAGCCACCTTTGGCAACTTTTAATAATCACCAAACTTTATTCAAGGATGGTAGATTATTAACATTTCTATTCTATTATTCTCTCCTGCTCATTAACTGAATATCGATATCAGGCAACGTTCATGTTGTCATTGCCAGACAGGGAATCTATGAATCAAAAGACAGTCTAGACATATATCAATTTGTCTGTTAGCCATAAAACCTTCGATAAATGTTGAGTTCATTTTTCTGTACATTTAACTCAGTAGAAGCTAATCATTCTTTTCGATAGCTCCTCCAATTTCTTTCAAATGGAGATATGACTTTTTGTAGTACTCAAACGATAATCTATATATTGATTTTATAACACATAAATAAACATATCGATTATTATCGATAACAAGAAACTTGAATATATAGCCATATTTGTATATAAAAATCATAGTATATTTGATATATATCGATATTTGGCAATGCTGTCATTGCCAGGCAGAGAGTCGATCCATAAGTCGTACAATGTTCTCATCCATTTTACTGCTATCGATAATAATCGATACATATTTATGGGTTTCTGTAGTGCTCGATAATAATCAATATTTCAATTTCACATTTGTAGTACTCAAATAAAGATATCGATTATTATCGATAACAAGTAAATTGGATGTACTGTAGCCGACTTGCACATAAGCAGCATAGGATAATTGGAATAGCAGCTCTTCGCTCGGCTCGTACATCTTGCAGCCTTGCGCGCCCAGCTCGAGCCCTCTCACTTGCCTAGCTAGTTTCAAACTTCATCTAAAAAGTTACTCCTTCTTTGCAGACTTATTAAACTATGTGCAACAGTGGCTGGCGAGAAGTCTAAAAAGTGTTAAAGTCATTAGTAATTAAATGATTGCAGTCGGGTATACATGATTCTGCGATACCCTGTCTATAAACAGATATTGATGAAATTATATATATATATCGAAGACGCAATCGTTTACACCCTTAATTCTCTTACCTAACCATAATCGATGGTCCAGCGAATAGATCGGCTGATTTGATATTATCTGCAGACTGGAGTCCTTATGTTTGGCATGTT